TTTCTTTTTTGAGCGTGAATGTGATATGCTTGGATTTTTGACTATTGACATTCCTCGTCCAGAAAGTGAGCCACTTTTCTATGAGAAATAAGTGTATTTGGAGATTACCCGATACAACTTCTGGATTTTCGTTATGTGCCATAATGCATGTATCATCAGCAAAGGTGGTAGTACACGTGTTAGGCGAAACTAGTAAATCTGATGTGAAGATCAGAAAGAGAAAAGGATGCAAGATACTTCCTTGTGGCACTCCTGATTTCATGGATTAATATGAGGAACTAGAATTCCCAATATTAATGAAGAACTGAATGTCTGTTAGGTAAGGACATTGCTTGGAATAGATCAAAGAATACAGCTGAGCAAAAGTGTTTTTCTTGTAACGATCTGTCTATTTCATGTACTATCCTGTGGGCTTGATCAATAGTAGAATGTAGCTTTTTGAAACCAAACTGATGCTGTGGAATTACATGTTTTTCACTAAGTATTGGCATTAGTCTATTCAATAGCAATCTTTCAAATTTTTTTGATAAAACTTTTTATCACTCTTAGAACTAAATTAAATAATATTATCACAAATTTTAGTACTTTTTCTGACAGTTCTTTTAGCATTTGTATTTTTACAAAGTCATAACCTAGAGGTTTGCGTTTTTCAGCCAATTTTAACTTGACGTTATTGTAATCGTCCAAAAATCGAAATTAAAATTTTTTACATTTCTTCACGTTTTGAAGGTTTCTGAACATTTTGGCATACCTTAAAAAAAAATGGATGTGTGTGTATGTATGGTTACCATTTTTTGTCCAGATTTTCGTGCGCACGGATCAACCGATTTGAACGGTTCAAAAAACATTCGATTCCTATTGATAGGGAGATCTGCTGATAAGTTTTTGGCGAAGACCGTTTTGAAGATACGGAGCAAAGAATGCAGAAAATAGAAATCGAGTTTTTGAGAGATTGGAGCATCGGATTTGAATGATCCAAAAAAACATTTAATTCGTAATGACGGGGAGAAGTGGTCATTAGTTTGCAAATAAAGTCCAGCGGTTTCGGAGATACAGAAGTAAATGTGCAAAAAATTGCAGTTTTTGAGAGAACTAAGCGGCCAATTTAAATGATTCAAAGAACTTTCTGCTTAACAAAATAATTGCTTTTTAAAAAAAAGTTTTTGTTTCATTTTTTTTTAATTTTTTTTTTGTATATCGGAAATAATTCAAATTTTAATTGTAATTCTGACTTAAGTTCAAAAAACATTCGATTCCTATTGATAGCTGTATTCTTTGATCTATTCCAAGCAATTGTTAAAGTATGAACTTAATTTCAACTTTGCAATTCAGTTTATATAATTCTTATAAATATTAGACAATGTGACCGTATTTATTTATAATAATCTATTTGAAAACATTTAATATTCCTTTTTACGGCACTATGCCATTCACACCACTAATTATCTCTGAGAGTGTAAAATGTAGCGATGCGTTATCTGGAATTGTAGATACATTATGTAGGTAGTTGTGGTGTACTGTTCGTTATAAGGTCTTCCTGATTGAGGCAATGGCTGGAAGATATTGTGGTAGTTCTCGGTGAATGCATTGACCTTTGCTTCATCGTTTCTTGCCCAAATATTACTATTTATTTTAATTGGCGGGAAAGATATCTTTGGTTGTCTAAGTTTTCTGGTAAACCTCCAAAGCGAATAGTTGGAATCCTTAGCTGCATCTAAATTCTCAATTAAGTGATGAAATCTTTGATTTTTGTATTCCGTCAAAAATATTTCCAGACCTTTGCAAGCCTTGTTCAGTCTTTTCTTATCTTCAGGAGACCGAGAGCACTGCCATATTTTACGAAGTTTTGTTTTAGCTGCAACTTTTTGTTTGATATATACAGGGTATTCTGTGACGCTCCTCATTTCGACTTACGGTGTTGATAGTTTTGCGGCTTTGAGCAGTTCATTGGACAATTTTTTTACAGCAGAGACAATGTTTTGCTCATTTTTTATAGGAATACCACAAGTTATATTACTGTTGAGAATGTTTTAGTATAGATTCCAGTCTGTACATTTATTACTAATAGATTGTTTGTTTTTTGAGAATTTAAGTGTATATAGTTGAGTATATGTTGAGAAGAATGGAGAATGATCCGAGCTCGAATCGAGACATGTGCTTTCTTGTAGGTTATTACATGGAATCCCTTTGGTTACGAATAGATCCAGAAGATCTGGACTTCTATTGGTGTCGCTGGGCCAATACCTTGGTTCTCTAGTTGAAACTGGAATTAAGTTGGATGCTATAATTATGTTGTACAGTTCACAGCCTCATGGAGATACTTATCTAGAGCCTCAGAGTGGATGTTTTGCGTTGAAGTCGCCTCCAACTATAAAATGATTACCTAAACTATTGAAAAATATATCAAAGTCGTTTTGTGAAATATTGTGCCAACATGAATAAGTGGTGTAATTGGTGTAAATTATAAAGGTTGAAGTAGCTCCTACTGGTAAAGAGCGTCTCTGAGATTAAAATGATGTCTATTTGATTGTATAAAATAAATTGCTTCAGTTCCTGTGCATGTTGGGCTAGGCCGTAGGCGTTCCATGTGCATATTTTGAGTGAAGTGGCCATTATTTTTTATATATAAGATAGGTGATTGATTTAATCATTTTTCCCATTTGGTCGATTAGTACTTTCAACCTACCTTTTAATTCTTGCCTGTCATTGGTTTGGTTATTATTAACTTCCCGTAGGGTAAGTTATTGTAATCGTCCAAAAATTTTTACATTTCTCGACGTTTTGAAGGTTTCTGAACATTTTGGCATACCCCAGAAAAAATGGTGCGTGTGTGTGTTTGTATGTCTGGATACAATTTTTCGGTGACGTTTTCGGGCGCAGGGATCAACCGATTTGAATGGTTCAAAAAACATTCGATTCCTATTGATAGGGAGATGTGCTGATTAGTTTTTGGCAAAGGCAGGTCCAGCAGTTACGGAGATAAAGAACAACGAGTGCTGAAAATAGAAATCGAGTTTTTAAGAAAACGGAGTGTCCGATTTGAATAATCTAAGAAACATTCAATTAGTGATGATTGGTAGAAGTCGTTATTATTTTTTGGCAAAGGTGGGCCCAACCATTTCCAAGATACAGAGCTAAATGTGCAAAAAATGGCAGTTTTTGAGAGAACTAAGCGTCCGATTTTAATGATTCAAAGAACTTTCTGCTTGTTTTAACAACATAATTGATTTTGGAAAAAAAAATTATTGTGTTTCGAAAATAAATCAGATTGCTTCAGTTCCTGTGCATGTTGGGCTAGGCCGTAGGCGTTCCATGTGCAATATTTTGAGTGAAGTGGCCATTATTTTTATATTAGAGATAGGTGAGGATTTTTAATCATTTTTCCCATTTGGTCGATTAGTACTTTCAACCTACCTTTTAATTCTTGCCTGTCATTGGTTTGGTTATTATTAACTTCCCGTGGGTAAGTTTTGTATCGTCCAAAAATTTTTACATTTCTCGACGTTTTTGAAGGTTTCTGAACATTTTGGGCATACCCCAGAAAAATGGTGCGTGTGTGTGTTTGTATGTCTGGATACAATTTTTCGGTGACGTTTTCGGGCGCGGATCAACCGATTTGAATGGTTCAAAAAACATTCGATTCCTATTGATAGGGAGATGTGCTGATTAGTTTTTGGCAAAGGCAGGTCCAGCAGTTACGGAGATAAAGAACAACGAGTGCTGAAAATAGAAATCGAGTTTTAAAGAAAACGGAGTGTCCGATTTGAATAATCTAAGAAACATTCAATTAGTGATGATTGGTAGAAGTCGTTATTATTTTTTGGCAAAGGTGGGCCCAACCATTTCCAAGATACAGAGCTAAATGTGCAAAAAATGGCAGTTTTTGAGAGAACTAAGCGTCCGATTTTAATGATTCAAAGAACTTTCTGCTTGTTTTAACAACATAATTGATTTTGGAAAAAAAAATTATTTGTGTTTCGAAAATAAATCAGATTTTATTTTTAATTCTGACTAAAGTTCTAATATACTTTAAACAAAAAAATTCAACTTTTCAATTCAGTTTATATAATTCTTATAAATATTAGACAATGTTACAATATTTATAATAATCTATTTGAAAATCAGTATTTCTCGAACCTTTTGTTATACTACGGGAAGTTCCAGAAATTTGCCTTAAGGTACGATGCCATATACCCCACTAGTTTTGATTTTGAGCTTGGTCGTTGTTGGTTGGATTTAGACTGTTCTCTTGTGCGGTTGGAAGTCGTGCGGTATTGTTCTCCATATGTGTATGTTTATTTTTTGGGTCATTTGAGAGTATGATACGCTGTACTTACTAGTGAATGATTGTTGACCTGTGAGCTCTGAGCTCCGTTTTTTTTTCTAAAAGGTGGAAAAATCTTTGTAATTTTTCTTTTTTTTATTTGACACATCCGCTATAATATGCAGGATGAACGTTATTGTTTATTCTGTCTGTCCAGGAACAGTCGTTAATGTGGTGATCTGCACATTTCACGCATCGCGGGTTAGGTGAGCAGAAATTACGAGTGTTGTCCTAGTTGTTGATACTTGGTACATTGTGGGACTTGACGGTAGTGCCGTTTTGCTACAATGTCTTTGTTCTGTACAGATATTCGACACTGTATATATCTTATTATTATTGTTTAGTGGCTGTATAGTTAAATAGTGTGTCAGATTATATAACCGTAGCACGTTATGTCCAAGTTTGTTGATTTTTTCTTTTAGCATTTCTACATCAGTACCGTTTTAATCACGATTTTAAAAGATCGCTCTTGTTTTGGTTGATATGAAAGGAGTTACGTACCCCTTGCCTTTAGTAATGCTAGTTAATTATAAAACAAATATTACTTTCATTAAAGGCATGATAAATTAAACTTATTAACTGCGCTAATAAAGTAGTTGCATGCATAATATTAATAAGCATTCTTTGAATTGACAATAATGCTATTAATTATAAAATATATCAATTACATAATTACCTCTCCATAAAGTCGACCTTTTTTATTCATTGCCAGATAATAATTAAATTTTTTCGCCCTAATTCGAATATGTCCTGCTATTCCAGCCGACGATATCTCCATTAATGCTACAAATTCATGAACTAATATTAAATTTAGATAATATAGGTAAATATACATATATATATATATATATATATATATATATATATATATATACAATATATACATATATATATATAACATATATATATATATGTATATATATATAGTCTTTTATTTTTGATTGAAATATGTACAGTAAAATTTCCCAATAGTAAATTTATTTACTGGTAAAATTAACTGATCAAAATCTTTCATTTTGTTGTTAGAATTATCATTAGTTTTTGACCTGCGTTGTCTTCAACATGTCTTCTTATTAATGAGAAACGAATCTTTTTTGAATCATTCAAATCGGTGATTGTGTTTTCGAAATTGTATCCATACATACTGGTGATGTGCCAAGTCGAATCAAGTGATTCGAATCATTCGAATCAAGCCTTTAACGACTTGATTCGAATCAGATTTTACTTGATTCGAATCAACTCGTATCAAGTCGCGAAATATTTACTGTGATAAAATATGTATGAACACAAATTTTCATAAATATGAAAAAAATATTTTAATTTAATTTAATATTATAATGATATAAAAAATAATAATAAATAACATAAATGACATAAATATAAAAAATAATCATGAATTAAATCATGCGAGCCAACCGACTGTAATACGCTTAAATGTACGCCGACTCCAATCGTTTTTGTATGATTTTAACTGCATTCATTAACTAACAATATCATCCGAGTTCCTATGACTCAAACCGACTTATTTCGACTTCAAGTCGCTATGAATTTATCCGAGTTCCTATGACTCAAACCGACTTATTTCGACTTCAAGTCGCTATGAATTAATCCGAGTTCCTATGACTCAAACCGACTTATTTCGACTTCAAGTCGCTATGAATTTATCCGAGTTCCTATGACTCAAACCGACTTATTTCGACTTCAAGTCGCTATGAATTCATACGAGTTTATATGACTCAAACCGAATCATCCCGAGTTCAAGCGGCTTGAACGATATGAGTTCGAAACATGTGTCTGTGTCTTAGCGTATCGACTTATCGACTTGCGTGTTTGTTTATTTTTGACTAAGCGCTGAGAGCCAATTTATTCATGAAATACAAAAAACTCATTTAGATAATAATAAGTACGCGTTTTAGATTTTAAATATTATAACATTTTATCAACTGCACAACGAGTTTCATACACATACAAAATTATCATATTTTAATTATGTAAGTAATGGCAAATTCACACAAATGAAATATTATCAATCTTTACAGTAGTGGATTGAATTTTAAGTCATTCGTAAGACGTTATAGATTCAGCTCCCTGTTTAGATTAGATCTAAACAATCAATAATATAAACATGCATTCGTTCAACGTAAGATTAAGAATATTGTTTTATATGCTTTAGTGAAAGAGAAGTTGGTTATATTTTACTGTAAATTTATTTGAAAATTTATTTGACCGTCTATTAAATATTATTTAATAATTTTTGTAATATATTTTAATCGATAGTAATTTGTGTTTACAATCGTTACTTTATTGAGTCAGTGTGTGTTTGCTTTTCCCGATTTTCACATAGATTTTGTTTTTACTGGCTAATTATAATTATTAAAAATGCCTCCCACTAAATCAAGCGTCGCTTGGCAGTTTTTCACAATTAATGCTGATAATAATAAACTGGTGTGTAAATTGTGCTCATTAAGCTATTGTAAATCTGGAAGTACAACCACTCTCGTTAATCATTTAAAAAACAAACATATTATTGAATATAGTGAAGCTGTAGCAGCTAATCCAGTGACATTTCAAAATGTGAGATCTGCTGTGAATGTGGTTAATCTTATAACGCAACCTGTAGTGCCAAATGTCTCACAACCAATTTTGAGTACTGAGGCTCCTGCAAAACGTTTGAAACAAATGCGGCTTACTATTCCTGGTAAAATTAATCAAAAAGCTGGCGATGATGCTTTAATGAACATGATTATTTTAGATATGCAACCGATACAGATAGTGGAAAATGATGGATTTAAAAAGTATTCGCGAATTCTAAATTCAGATTATGTATTACCTTCCAGAAAAGTACTCACGCGTATGTTAGAGGAAAAATATGAAATGCATAGTGCGGAAGCAAAGGCAAAACTTACATTTGTCGAAAACATTGCAATTACGACTGATATATGGAGTAGCGATAGCCAGAAAAGTTTTCTTAGCGCAACTGCTCATTTTATTAAAGATAGCAAATTAAATTCATTAGTCATAGCAACAATAGAACTCAGAGAAAATCACACGTCACAAAATATTTCTAATGGTTTGAAATCTGTGTTAATTGAATGGCAAATCTTTGATAAAGTTGATATTGTTGTGACTGATAATGCGCCGAATATGAAGAAATCTATTACTTTATTTTTGAATAAAAAAAATTTATCGTGCGTAGCTCACACATTAAATTTAGTTGTTAAAAATTGTTTAGATAAAGACAAAGAAAATTGTGAACTTCTTATCGCAATCACAAAAGCTAGAGCGATTGTAGCACATTTTAAACATAGTGTCAAATCGTCAGGTATTCTGCAAGGATTACAAAAGCAAATGAACTTAGATGTTATTACTTTATCACAAGATATACCAACTAGATGGAATTCTACTTTTTATATGTTCGAAAAGTTATTGAGGGTTAAAGTTGCACTATGTGCAGCTTTGCCTTTAATAGATTCTCCTCCACCAAACCTGAGTTTTGCTGAGTGGGCTATTTTAGAAGATTGTGTGAAAATTCTACAGCCTTTGGAAATTGTAACCAAAACATTGTCAGGTGAATTTTATCCCACCTTATCCAGTGTAATACCTATAATTCAAGGGGTAAAAAATTCTATAAATAAAAGAACGCCAACAACTAATGCTGGGAAGAATTTGCAACAAATCTTGTTGAGAAATATAAGTCAAAGATTTGGTTATTTAGAAAATGATGAAATTACAGCAAAAGCAACAATTCTTGACCCCAGATATAAGAAAAAAGCCTTTGGATTAGAGAGTTGTGCGGATAAAGCAATGGCTTTGGTTTTAGATGAAGTAAAAGAAATGACTACGGCAGAACATATTGAAGAGGCCGAAAATAATGAACCATTATCAGTACCGTCAAACCATAATATAGATGATGAAATCTGGGAAAATTTTGATATGCGTGTGGTTCAGACAATAGAACAAACTTCAATCTCTCTTCCAGAAAGATTATTGCAAGAATATATAAATTTGCCATATTTGAATAGAAAGCAAGATCCTGTTCAGTTTTGGGAGGAAAGAAAAAACATATATCCTGCTTTATATAAAATGGCGAAAAAATATTTATGTATACCGACAACATCCGTTCCGTCAGAGCGCTTATTTTCCAAGGCTGGCATGTTGACTAATCAACGACGGAATAGGTTACAACCAAATAAATTAAATCAATTATTATTCCTTAATTCTTATTATTCAGAAAAATATTTGTAGTCATTAGTTATATTTGTAGCAAGTTTATTATTATATATATATTAATATAAATGTATTAATCTCTGCACTTTTTGGAATTAATTGCTTACTAAATTAATAAATTCACTTATAAAATTATTAAAGTGATATTATTTCTTGTCTTAAATTATAATTGTTCATATATGAACTTGATTCGAATTGATTCGAATCATGATTCGAATCAAGTTTTTTTCTGATTCGAATCACTCGAATCAGGAAATTTTCGAGTCGGCACATCACTAATACATACATACACACAGACACATACATAAATTCAAAAACACATACTTATATACATACATCAATTTTATCAAGGCATGCCCAGATATTCAAAAAACTTTAAAACATGATGCTGTATAAAAAAATATTTTCGATTTTTTGCGATCAACCTAATGGAAGTTAATGAGAAATTAAAAATGAAGTGACTGAACAATGGTCGTTTTAAATTCTTAGCAATTTATAAATATTTAGCCTTGTTAGAGAAAGGTGGTCTGTATTTAAACAAAAATAATAATTAATATTTTATAATGTCTCGATATTTAGACTTTTAAAATATATTTACACTTAAAAAGAAACACTAAAGTCTCGAAGTGTCTGTAATTTCATGAAATAAAGTTTCTGAAAATAACTGAGTATATATATATATATATATATATATATATATATACGAGTATATACGTTGTTTTGCTAAGTAAGGTATATTCTAAACAATTTCTAAAGAATCAAAAAAAAAAACTTTAAGTGTATGAGGATGTGTTGTTTGAATGCTATATGCAATGAGGTATTATAAAAACAATAAACCCCATTGGTTTGTCTATATTTTGTCAATACAATCAAACTGGAAGTTTCATACACTTTCTATAGAAAACATGATATAATCCTATCTAAGTCTTTTTTGGTCTATCGACTTATTGATTACGTTTCAAGTTTTTCAGATCCTTTTTGAATTCTGAATTTTGGTATAATTGTAAATAATACTACTGAGCTTCTACTTTTAAATGTTCAAATTTGTGCGAGGATAGATAGAAAATGAATTAAGTATTTCTTCTTTGACCTGCTTTTTAAACAGTTTCAAGTAACATTCGATGAATTAAAGTAAATTTAATAAGAAGTATATATGTAAAGCAAAGCGAGGCTCAAATGTCGAATTTGACTTTGAGCAAATATTAATTATGTTATAAAAATCAAACCAATTATATCACAAAAAATAACACATTTCAAACAAACAATTATCATTGTAGAAATGTGCATTTTGATGTATTTCAAAAAATTGTTATCTAAACCTCTTTAGCCTGTAGGCGGGGTAACTTGGAACGGCCAGATGGCAAACAGGTTTAATATCTTATTTTAATTTAAAAAAAACTTTACAAAATAATTACGTTTTTAACTAATGCTAAAAAACTACCAACGAAAGAAAATGATTTATTATGAATTTTCAAAGATTACCGTTTATCTTCCTTATTACCGATGTCATGGTCATGAGAATCAAGTTTACAGCAGGTTATACACTTTCAAATATT